AGCTTTGAGGGAAGATTTACATCTCACCATACCTTACATGGACAGATTATGATACTAGTACCTTACACATCAGAGTGCTAGCTGGTGCATTTTAACAAATTGAGCCATCACACTAGTACTATTATCTTAATAATATTTGCGACCAATACACAAAATTGAGGACCATTACACTTATTTCTTAACTTGCATAATAATACTTTGCTAGTATCTACTTTTGAAATAATTTAGATTAAGGTCTCATTCTTGAGTTTTTGTTAACTATGGCCGCCTATGGCAAAATACGTAACTTTACATAGGCCAAAACCCTATAATTTGAATGACAGCCATCTAGTCTATCCAATCAATTTTGAGCACAATGGCCCTACATTACGTCAAAAAATTCCCAACCAGATCTAACCCAACAATCTCTTTTTATTTAATTATAAACTGCACTTGGCCACTCTCCGCCAGAGGTCCTCCAGCGCTGCTACCTCCTGACCGCATTACCCATCACAACAGCGTGTAAACATCCGACCTGTCGCGCGGATGTCAACACTTACCCACTAATTTTAGCACATACAAACAACCTCTCATATCACAAGCGGTTTACGCCAACTGACTTAGCTAAAATGCAATTTCTGGCGGATATAAACACACATCCATACACGCATTTAATTTTTAGTACGATCTACTTTAGAGTACCCACGCGGAAGAATACCGGAATGAGACCTTAAATGTGAAAAATGTTCATATGATCCTCCAAACAAGCAAAAACACCTTGTGATTACATGTGGCCTAAAATGAATAATGTACCCCCTTGGGTACCCTTAAAATGCCCTAGAACTTAGAAGGGTCAAGACCCCCCTTCTAATTCTGCACCATCCCACTGATTGGCTCCTTGAGTCGCAATTAATATTACCATTACTCTAAAATAAAATCCTAATAAAGAAGAAGCTGTACTGTATACGTAACTTTACTGGTACTTTTCGGCAGCTTGCCAAAACTACTTGTCAGGTAACATTGACAGAACATTACAGTAATGCTATAAAGACTGTCTTAAACATCTACTTACTATAGATAGTTCTTACTGTCTTGGGAAATGACCACCTTTTAAAGTGTTGATGGAAAAAAGTGTAAACTTAATTCTTTTGAGATGCAGCAGAGACCTATCAAACTAGAAAACTGCTGGGAATACCTGAACAAGTGCTAAATGATAGTAAATCATCAAAATCGTCATCTTTGAGATGCAATTTAGTCTACAATTTATGACAGTACCTTTTGAGACAGTATAACCATACATTACAATGTCAATGGGAACTCAATGCATTAACAGGTCAGTGTAAGCAAATGTACGGTATATACTATACGGTATATAAATGTAAATAAAGTATTTGCACAAGTTAAAACATGTAATTTCTCATCTTATCTGGTGCCATTTTCCAGAATGTAAATGGAAAAGTGTGACAGAATAGTGTTACCACTTTCATGACATGATTTTTTCATCACACAATTCAAGCACTTTTTCAAACAACTTATCAATTTTAATTTGTTATGCCAGAAATGTTAAGAAATCAAATTGTACAGCAAGACACAATGTAGCCAACGTTCTTGTTTGTTGTCACAAATAAACCATTTTGATTGATTGATCGATAAATGTACTTCCCACAATTGTGTCTCTTGGCTGCATTATTTTAAGCCTTCAGGAAGCCTGAGACTAGCTTGGGGAGGAAGTATTGCACAGATAGTAATCTCTCACCTTACCAAAACACTGTTGGGCAGTACCAATGTAATAAACTGTTGCAGTACATGAGCCCGGAATGTTTGCTGTAACCCCTATAAAAAAGTATAAGAACCTCAAATAACAGAGGTCAGTCATTAGAGAAATTCCAAGGCCAACCCAATTTAATTTCTTCGTTTTTTGGTTTTCCATGCTTCATTTTTGCTGACTTGTAATAAAAAAAAACATGTACATACATAAATGATCATTCATATTTTGGCACCAACAGTTGAAGAGAGTCCTTGCCTTTTACATGTAGTTGTTACAGTTTGTCCATTTTACAATGCACTGATTTGATTCAGAGTTGAAAGTTCATAGTTTGACTTATAATGCAGCCAAGTATGTTGACTTTGCTGCTCATGTTAGCATTGTGTCTAGCACAGTGATATTTTTTTTTCACCCACCTGCTTCATTGATTTTCTCTTGATTCAAAAATCTGAGAACCAACAAATCAAATTGTTGTGGCCTGACAAGAGCGCTTCTAAACCAACTGTCAAACCAAACAATCTCAGAACTCACACCATGCAATCTCTTTCTACCCCCTATATATGCTAGCTGGGGGCCTGCATGGGGGGTCCCAACAACGCTCTACGCTAAATTTTGAGAGCGGGCTACGTATTACGCTGAATTCAAGAAATCGCTCGATTACGCTTTACGATAAATTCTGGGTAGCTACAACGCATTATGTAGAATTAAAATGGCGAATATGCTTTACGCAAAATGTGCCAATTTATGCTCTACGTTGAATTAGAGCGGTCCATCTATGCTCCACATAGAATTAAAACGGCCGATTACGTTCTGCGAAAAAGGGCATGCGCCCCCCCTAGCTATCTGCACTGTGTTTTCCCTACCTCTGCCATCCTGTGGTATTTGTTCAGTAAGATTGCAGATGACTCAACAAAATCACTGCCATATGATTCCAGACCTGTACATATTCCCAAGGGAACTCTTCAAAACAAGAACCCAACATGTGGTGGTCCTGAATTATGCAGGGTAAACCTGATACAGTAATTCACTAAGATAAATGCACTTGTTACTACCTGACATCCAGGAATTTAGCAATTTATTACTCCTTTCGAATAACTGGCACCCTGTTGTTTTGACAATTGAATAATCTTGTAATTTTTAGTTGGCTTGTTATGTTATATTATATTTTATTGTATGTGAAAGCTTGTTACTTTTTATGCTCTGGGTTAAAATTTACGTTTGTGTTTTAGGAGGAAAACAACATATTTCACCAAAACATTTGTTGGGCTGTCAGTACCAGTAGTATATTATGGCTCAATTCTCATTGATAACTTACAATGTAGTTATTTGAATTGAACCATATTCTATGATACTGTAAATCACTTTATAGTCGCAGTACTGTTATATTTGTAAGATTCTTTACTGCAAATTTATCAGTACCATTAAAAAATAATTTGTCGACTTCGTTTTTTCTGCACCTGCCACTACCGCGAATGTATAATTCTGCATACATGTCCGTTTTTCTCAGAGTCAGAACACAAAATTTTCCAACCAAGAATATAAAGTAATTTACAGTATTACTAGCGTATACTTATAGCTGGTAATATTATTGAAGCTCTAGCTATCAGGGGCTGATTGGGCCTCCTGAAATTGTGTGAAAATTGACAACCTACTACTTATTTACTGAGAACCTACTAGTACTTATGAAACAAAGCATTTGGACAAACTAAGAAACAAACTTTCACATCTGGAGACACAGAAGACACTGGCGGGGCCACCTGTTTGCCATATCTCACCACTTAGGTGGGCAACAGTCCAGCTGAACCCTTGTTGAACTTACGATGACACGAGTGTTACAGTTAGATATACAATCACTGTCTAGATGTTCACAGGAGGAACTATAGGGTCTAAGGTCTAACTTGAGGCTGGAAATACATAGTTACAACCTAAAATGTGCGACAAAATCTTGTACTGTAGTGCAAGTTGTAGGAAAAATTTGGTCAGCTGAGAAACGAGAAGAAACCGAATTTACTTGATTGTAACTACTTGACAATGTATATATGTAACTTTATATATTCCATCCTTTTTTGTGACCTGTACTTAACCCAGTGAGTATGTGTGTACAATAAAGGTCTTCATTCATTCATTAAAAGAATGCAAGTTCCGTATTTATGAATCACGTAATTGTAGTTACCTACGTGTAACTATAAGGAACAGGAATTTTTGGTATTCCACGCAATGCAGTATGCAATCATTGAAACTGAAAATGAAGCCTGGTTTCTGTTTTACAAAAGTTGACTCATTTGTTAAAAAAAGGTTTCCACGCACATATGAACTCTATTTCCAAATCCAACTGAATAAAACACTTTTTTCAGTCATAAAAAAAAATGATACTGCCTGATGCAGATACAACGTCCAAGATATGACATTATGGTTAACAGATTTTAACAATCCTTTCTAAATATAAAATCAGGGCATAATCTTTTTAAATACAAAATCAGGAAAACCTTAATTTTTACGTTCATTTTGACAATTGCACAATTGGAAGCCTAAAATGCCCTAAATGCCACAATTTTTCTACCAAAACAAGCAAACCAATCTACAGATTTTGTACTGCCTAACAAAGATATAATTTCACAGATATTCTCTGACTTCTAACCTCTACATGACACTATGTCATCATCTGACATCTAACCCAAGTTCAACCCTTCCCACCCAGCATTGCCTTTCCCCACAGCTGTCTTCTTTACACAGATTTTTTACACTCTGAAATCTGAACCGGCAACACTAGAATCACTTCCACTGGTACCATTTCCGCACAGAAACAACGTCAGGAACGACTGCTATGCGGCTCACCGGAAAAGGTTTTAGAAAAAAAGGAGAAGAAATCAGTTTCTTGTAAAGTATTTTTGAGTAGGAGGGGGGAGGGGGGTAGCTATAGCCTCCGTAGCAGGCTTATAGAACTGGGGGTTGGTGGTCGGTCTTCGGCTGTTTTCTGATTAGCCAAGTTCTAAAAAAAACGGGGGTAATTCAACCAGACCGGCTATGTTGTCTATATGCAATCAGAAAATAGCACATAAAAGCTCCCAAAAGACCCTGAAGACCCCAGTTTTTGGCATGCTATGGAGGCTAGGAGGGGGTGGGGCTGGCTTGTGTGAGTGGATTTGGGGGTGAGTGGTTAGGGTACGCTGCCCCGCCCCAGCCTACGTTTTGGCTCAGATAAAAATGGGTCAACTGTGAAACCTTAAGTATATTTTCGTTTTTTTTTTTATCTTACCTGTTTTTCTTCGTTGTCGTCGACTAGCATATCTTCCGTGCTGCCAGCGCCACCCTGAAAAAAGTCACACAAAAATGCACACTGGTCAAAATCACCACGACTTGTTTCATATTTTTACTTACTACAGTACTCCTAGCTGTATATACGTGCACATTTTTCCGTCCAGGTGGCATGCTTTACTCGCAAATCGAAGGTTCCGGCAGCAAACTGGTTAGGTGAGGGCGCCAAAAAACACAGAATTTCAGACGACCGACTCGCCCAACTTGTACTGTACGGCAAATCGGACGACACTTTCCTCACACACACATACATACCTCGGCCTCTTCTTTCATGGGCATCTTTTGCCAGGGGTCGGCGTACTGTGCCAGTGGCATGGCTGATACCTCTTCCCCCTCCCCTCCTTGCACCCAGTAACTCCACTGAAATTGGAAGGAAATGACGACGAGGAAAGCTGGAGTTTCCGAGGTGAAAAAGGTGGATTTTTGGGTCCAAGGCTCGCAGGACGGAGTCTTTCAAAATGGCGAGCGACCGGAAGGGGACGAGAACGAGGCTGGGGTCAGGTTCCTCATTTGCATACCTCATGAATAATTCATGAGGTCTTAAGATTTCGCCGTTTTGAGGATAAAAATCATTAAATTTTGAATTAAAAATCACTGATTTGTGGTCATTAAATCGTTAGACAGCTATTCAGCAAATTTTGTACCAGTTTGTAACGTATTTTCTGTGACATAGCATGCATTTCACCAATCAAGATCGAATTCCAGTTTGATTTGTGAAATAAAAATGCCATTTAAGATTTGTCAAAATTACAAAGGAGAACTAAGTATCGGTCACCTACATGACATTCAAGAAGAAATATGTTTCCCGCTATTTTCCTAAAGTCAAAGGTCTGAAACGGTCGGCTATGTGTACTCTCCAAGCAAAGGGCTTAGTTTTAAATTTGACGTGATTTAGGCTTTTTTATCGGGCTTTCTTTTCTGCACTGGTGTCTTTCAACCCCAAAAGATACCAGTGAAAAAAAGAATTATAAGACTTAAAAAAAAACTAAAAACATGCCAAAAATAAGCCAAAATCCAAACCTCTGCTTGGAGAGTAGGCTATATGTGCGCTGTCACAAATTCTAACAAAGAGGTTGAAATCCAAATCCCAGCTTAATTCTGACAATAGACGCACGTCAACAATTAAGCGGGCTTTTTCCCCAGGAGATTTGGACCTTCTGCCGTCGGTGGCGACTGAAGTTGGTTAATTGGGCCTGCGTAACTCTAGTGGCCTGTCAGGAAAAGCTGGTAGGCTTATGGGGATCTTTGTTTATGATGCCTAGTGGCATGGGCATAACCATTGCATGAGGCCCTACAACACAAGGTAGCGCACATGTACACACAAACACACACACACACAGACACACTATCTCACATACATACACGAATATATACACAACAGTCACACACCGTAACACACACACACACACACACACACACATATGCACACACTGACATACACACACACGCGCGCGCGCGCGCACACACACACACACACATATGCACACACAAACACAAACTCAGGGAGAGCAGAGAGAGAGAAAGAGAGAGAGGGGAGAGAGAGGGGGGAGAGAGAGAAAGAGAGACGAGAGAGAAAGGCGAGAGAAAGAGAGAGGAAAGAGAGAGAGGGGGGAGAGACGAGAGAAAGAGATAGAAAGAGAGAGCTAGAGAGAGGGGGAGAGATGAAAGAGAAAGAGCGAAAGAGACGAGAGGAAGTGAGAGAGAGAGAAAGAGAGAAAGAGGGAGAGAGAGAGAGGGAGAGATCACTGTTTGAAGACGATGTTTGAAGACCTGTTGATGAGTGACGTTGTATATCTGGGCCGCAGCTGGCCGGAAATTGCCCACTGAACCGCTTTGAGTCAATCACATACACAGACAGAGGCGGTATAAAAGAGCCGTGTCTATCTATAGTTCTAGTCTCCACCAGACTCCTTTTGCAGGCTGAATGAATAGTAGAAATCGGCCTAAAAAGGGGATATAATTGGCCAGAGGAGTGCAGGACAATTGGACCCTCGATGGCCGGGAAACTCCCCTTTTAGTCCGAATTCTACTATTTATTCAGCCTGCAAAAGGAGTCTGGTGGAGACTACTATAGTTTTATGCCTGAATGGGATAGGGTTAGGACCAGGCACGGTTCTGGACAGAGTCTAGCCTCTACCAGGCTTCGGGAGGCGGCTGGAAAGATAGAAATCGGCCAAATAGAGAGATGGCATGCCAGGGGAGTTGGTCTGCTGGGAGAGATGGCAAACTATTCTCTCCGGCAGACTAACTCCCATGCAATGCTATCTCTCTATTTGGCAGATTTTTACTCTTTTCAGCCGCCTCCAGAAGCCTGGTAGAGGCTAGACATAGTCCGCGATCTGTGAATGGTTCTGGATAAAGCACGGTTCTGGATACGCGTGGACTATCCAGAACCTCATCTGTGAATGGTTCTGGATAAAGCACGGTTCTGGATACGCGTGGACTATCCAGAACCTCATCTGTGAATGGTTCTGGATAAAGCACGGTTCTGGATACGCGTGGACTATCCAGAACCTCATCTGTGAATGGTTCTGGATAAAGCACGTTGTGTTCTTTATATAACAGCCGTGGGAAGAATGACTCAGAAAGCCCGGGTATAGATCACATAGATCAAACAAAACGGAATGAAATGAAATGAGACGAAAACAAGATAAGACGGAATTTAACAGTACGACAGACATAAAGTAATAAGGAAATGGGACTGATTAAGATACAAGAGTTATCAAATAAAACAGAATGAAATGATTTACCAAATACACTACAACGATAAAATTAACTAGTAGAAGAAAATAACATAAAACGAAATCAAAATGGGGCATCATGATGTTTTAGGTGACATGTAAACGATAGATTTTATTTATTCATTCTTTATTGCAGGCACACGGCCCATATCAATCAGAGCATACAATTAAAATACTGTTAAACAAAGGCAAGTATAATGCAAGTATATACAGAAGATTAAAATACAATGATATATAGAAGTTTAAAATACAATGTTACGATAGATTTAGTGGTAACACAGCTTTTATAGGCGTAACTGTTTTGTACCTTAATGAATAACATGTATACAGTAGACGATATATCTAGTGAAAACATACAGTTTTATAGACGGTAAATTTAGCGATAACATGTATACGATAGATTTAGTGATAACATGGATTTATAGGTTTTCCCTCTTCCCTTGTTAACTATATCTATAACTACTACAGTTAACCCATGTGGGCAAGAACATGCTAATGACAATGACAATGACAATAAAAATGAACTTTATTGCATATTCACGCCCTACGTGGGCCAAATGCACTTAAGTTAAATAACTTGGGTACAAGAATAGAAGAAGCAATTGTTACATTCGTGTGCTATTTCTCTATCTACAGGATCTAACTACAGGATCTCTTCTCTCTTTTTGAAACATGTATGAACAAATTTACATAGTTTTTCATTTAGATCATAGCGCTTGGATGTCATAATATGTTTGGACAATTCTATTTTCGGTAAGTATGCATATTTCTTTTCTAACTGTAAGGTGCTAATAAAGGATTTCCGGATGTCATTGTAAAGCGCACATTCTAAAACAATAAAGATTATTATCGCCATCATTAAACTTTAAAACAGCAGGCAGCACAATGTAGATCTGATATTTACCGATCAACATTGCCCGCTTTAGGTGTGAGGCTAGTCAAGCGATTAAGTGTCTGATATTCGCTCCTGTTGCTTCAATAAAGAACCCAGGGGGAGATCAGAATCATATCGCAGAAGAAAATCGTAAACAAAATGACAACGTCAATGAAACGTGACCTAGTGATAAAACCAAGGCATCTGACAAGAACTGCGTCGAGTCAAGCGCATACATGTCAGGGGTGCCAGAGATACAGTGCAATTTTACGGAATACAGTGCAATGGTATTAGTATACAGTGCAATTTTACGGAATACAGTGCAATTTTACAAAATACAGTACAATGGTATTAGTATACAGTGCAATTTTACAAAATACAGTGCAATTTTTCGGAATACAGTGCAATGGTATTAGTTATATATATACAGTGCAATTTTACGGAATTCAGTGTAATTTTACTAGTATACAGTGCAATTTTACGGAATACAATGCAATTTACTAGTATACAGTACAATTTTACGGAATACAGTGCAATCGTATTAGTATACAGTCAATTTTACTAGTAAAATTGCACTGTGTACTAGTAAAAGTGCACTGTATACTAGTAAAAGTGCACTGTATACTAATACGATTGTACTGTATTCCGTAAAATTGCACTGTATTCCGTAAAACTGCACTGTATACTCTGGCACCACTTCATATGTGGGGCTAAACAGTCGGGATGGTTATCAGTAAAATATCTGTTCATCTGGTATCTATATTAACATCAATTCAAGCTGGCAGAGAGCAATCTTTGATTGACGCAAAGTTGTTGCTGTTGTCCACTCGGGACCCCCCTTTGCCACTTGTGAGCAATTTGGGATTCAACTACGCGATATGCGTGTGTGAAGAATTTGTCTGTAACGCTTAAGGATGGATTCTGGATGACAAATAACAGGCTACGCATAACTAAAGACACCAGGTACGCTTCGGGAATAATTTAGAGACAACGCTTAACGCTGGATTAAAACGAGCCGGCTTCTTAGCTACGATTCACGGGGAATGAAAATGGTTGTTACGTCTCATGGAGAAATGCGGACAAGTACCAACAGACAGATTTGAATATATCATTAGAAGCAACAACTCTCACAATGAAAAGAAAAACAGGTAAATATGTAAAAGACTGCTTTGTTCGACAGAATACCGAAACTCGTGATTATACCACTTTGCTAGCCCTTATTGTTGTAGTAATCAGCATGTTATAGTGACCTGTACTTAGCCAAGTGTGGCAAAATGTGCAATAAAGGTCTTCATTCATTCATTTTGAATCGACGTCGCCTCACGTAAGAGAAACAACAGCCCCCAAGTGGTCGTTCTGCCGGTACCTGCAGTCCTGCAGGTTTGATGATTGATAAGCAGCGTTTCAGATTGTAATACGGAGGGGGGGGGGATTGTTTCCCGCAGCGGGATCGCCACTAACGATACAGAAATTGGCGCCAAGAGTATAAAAATACCAGCGTGCGAGGACGGAGTTTACACGAGCATGATAAGAGATGGAACATAGATT